ACTCTGGCAGGGCAGGCCCCTCGTGTGGTGGGCGAGGCACTGCCAAAGAACTGGCCCTATATGGGTCTGGAGCAGCAGGCGTCCACCCAACAGGACATGTAGAAGCCCCTGAGTTACCCTGGGTTAACAAAGAGCAGAGAAGGACACAGGCAAGGCACGGAGTGTGTTCCTGACTGCAGAGAAGGACCAAGGTTTGAGTCCAGGCTCTGGAAGGCTTCAGGCAGGTTGCTTTGCCTCTCCCAGATGCAGTTTCCTCTATCTGTAAAATGGGAACACTGTGGGTACACAGTCCCTTCTTTGACCTTGAAGCCAGATGTATTTGGAAGTCAGAACTTTTCAGATTTTGAGGAAGTAATGTTGTAGATACCATACTTTATAAAACACCCACAGCCAGGTAAGGGGAGCAACCTGTAAACAAACGCTTGCTGATTTCTGCAGTGAAATGGATGAATACTCACTCACATTACGTAGAATTTGTAAAGATCATTAATAGCCTCATGTAGGTTCAGGCTGGGTTTTTTGACACCATATTAATTTGTTGCAAATTTATGGAAAAGCTCTATTTTTCCTGATCTTCTTGGAGTCTGGAATTGATAACAGACTGGGAACATGTGATGCCGTGGTCTTGTGGTGAAGACAGCAAGAGAGGGTGGATGTAAGGCAGCTTGCAGATTTTCAGAAAACGGGAAGTCTTAGTTCCCCCAGACTGATGGTTCTCCACCTTGGCTACACCTTGGAGCCGCCTGGGGAGCTCTAAAATCTATGATCCCTGGACCGCATTCCCCAACAGCATGGAATCTGCAACTGTGGGCCTGTAGCCCTGCCAGTGATGTTTGCAAGCACTCCTTGGGTGATTCTTTTCTACTTTTTCCTTTCCTTTTTTAATGAAAGCTTTATTGAGACATAATTCATGTACCATACAATTCACCTATTTAAAATGTATAACCTAACGGCTTTTAGTATGTCAGAGTTGTGTAAGCATCACCACCATCAATTTAAGACCATTTCATCACCTTAAAAAGAAGCACCATATTCTTTTGCTTTCACTCACTTACTCTCCCACCTCCCCAGCCCTAAGCAACCACTCATCTACCTTCTGTCTCTACAGATTTCTCATTCTGGACATTTCATGTAAATGGAATCATAGAGTGTGTGTATGGTCTTTTGTGATTGGCTTTTCCCACTTAGCATAAAGTTTTCAAAGTTCAAGGTTCATCCCCGTTGTTGCATGTATCAGTATTTTATTCTTTTTATGGCTGAAAAACCGAATTCGGTTAATCCATGTATCTGTTAGTGGACGTTTCGGTCGTCTCCACCTGTGGCTATTATAAATAATGCTGCTGTGAACATGTGTACGCAAGTTTCTGTGTGAACACATGTTTTCCTTTCTCTTGGATATTACTGTGTCAGATGGTAACTTTATGTTCAACTTTTTGAGGAACTGCCAGACATTTTCCCAAAGTGGTCACACCATTTTATGTTCCCACCAGCAGTGTTCGAGGGTTCTGATTTCTCCCTTCTTTGTTTTCTCTGACTTTTGGATTATAACTATCCTCCTGAGTGTGACGTGGTGTCTCATGATGGCTTTGATTTGCATTTCCTTGATGATTAATAACACTGGGCATCTTTTTATATGCCTATTGGCCATTTTCTATCTTACTTAGAGAAATGTCTTTCAGATCCATCATCCATTTTAAAATTAACTTTTTAAATTTATTGAGTTTCAAGGGTTCTTTATATGTCCTAGGTACATGTCCCTTGTCAGACATAAGATTTACAAATATTTTCTCTCATTCTGTGCATTGTCTTTCCGCTTCTTGATGGTATCCTTGGAAGCACAAAAGTTTAAAATTTTGGTAAAGTGCAGTCTATGTATTTTTTTTCTTTTGTTGTTTGTGCTTTTGGGGTCATGCCTGAGGACTCATTGCCAAATTCAAGTCCTCAGAGACTTCTCCATGTTTTCTTTGGAGAGTTTGTAGTTTTGGCTCTAACATTTAGGTCTTCCATCCATTTTTAGTTAATTTTTGTATATGATGTGAAGTAAGGGCTCAACTTCATTCTTTTGCATGTGGCTATCCAGTTGTCCCTCTGTGGGCGGTGCAGGCACAGTTTCAGAGTCACTGCATTAGATCGTTAACCCTAGGAAGGCTGAATTTGTGTTTTCTATGTCCTAGAAAACCACAGCAGCAGCAGGAGAATGAATGGCTGGCTGGCTGGCTGGACGAGTCATGAGGGCAAATGTGCCATGAATCAGAAACCCTCAGTGTCAGGTCAGAAAATGGGTAGATATTGATGGAGATCAACCTCCTTACTAGGGAGAACCCCCTGTTGTTATGGCAGAGCTTGTCCCAGACTCTTTTACTCTACCGTGGTGAGGAGCTCCCTCTCTTACAGAGCTAGTCACTGGAGAGGCGTCTTGTTGATCCAAAGGAAAGTTCATTCTCACACAGAGCTGAAATCTGCCTCCTTTGTGCCTTCACCCCTTCCCCGAGCCCTAGCTCTTCCCTCTGGTTCCCCACTGCCCCCTGCCCCGCCAGTGCTTCCGCTTCCTATGCTGTGGGCCAGCTCTAAAGATTATATGACAATGAGGGTAGCTGGCTGTGGCTTCCTCTCCTGCAGGCTGAGCAGCACCCACTTCTCACAGGGTGGGGTTGTGAGCCCCTCATTCCCCGATTGCCTCCTGTGCATTCATCCCAGCTATCCCTGTTCTGCCAAAGGGCAGGCCCAGGGCCTGACACAGTCCACCCCATGGCACATAACCAACCAGCTCAGAGAACAGCAGGTCTTTTTTCTCCCACCATTTATCCTGCACTCTGAGCAAGCAGTGTGTTGCTATTGCGGTTTTTCATTACCTCCGACACACTGCTTGCTCAGATTAAGCTTATGATACTCGTTAAGAATATGTGCAACGTGTTATTTTATTGTGCTATATTGAGATCATCAGTATTATTACTAATGATATATTAGACTCTATTAATGCTGATGATGATAATCTACTGAGTGTTTACCATGTGCCAGCTTTATGCATAGAGCTTTATTATAAACATGGTCTCATTTGATTTTTTAAAGGTATTTATTTTTATATCCATTTTAGAGAAAGCTGAGTCTCAGAGCAGTGATGTAGCTGACTCAAGGCTACCAAGCTTGGATTCCCACCTGTATTTGCCTTCAAAGACCCTGATTTTGAGCTCTGCGCTATCCTGCCTCCTGATGACTGTCCTTTCCTAGGGTGGCGCTTCCCTCAGTGTGTCCAGCCTGCCTCTCTGTTTTTGCTAACAGATTTCTGAACAGTCAAGGATGAGTAGAAGCAGAGTCCTTAGTATTCTATTCTAGCCCCTGCCCAGCCTAAATAATAATCCTTCCAGATTGTGCAGTGTGTTGGGAGCACCACTCACAGGCATCGTCTTTGGACCCCTGCTACTTCCTCTGGGGGACTGAAGAGGAAATCACCATAGCACCTTCCCTTGCCTAGTGCTGGCTGCATCCCTGAGCAGGGCCACCAGGCATGTGGAGCCTACCAACCTTCAAGGAGGAGTAGGCAGGGCACAGAGTACAGATGGGTACAGAGTCCAGCTGGAGTCAGACTGGACCATGTTTTGCAGCCTTGCCCTCCAAGGAGGATCTGGCTGTTTTCACACTGCCAGCCTGGCACAAGCCCCTGTGGCTGTGAGCAAGTTGGGTACAGCCTGCAGAACCCTTGGAGGCTGGCACGTGTCAAGAGAAGAAAGGCCCTTGGAACCACTTTGCAAGTTCATTTGGCTCATTTTCAAGGCCCAAGCAGGCTCCAGGAAGTCACAGAAATAGCTGGTGATTTATTTCCAGGCAGTGTAGTTTGACCAATTCAATTCAATTCATTATAGCACACTAGAAATCATTCCTATCTTCTCATTCACACTTTAACTTTTTCATTCAGTGATTCTCTCATTCATTCATCACTGTATTCAATTATTTTTGCTTGTTTGCTCATTCATTTTCTCATTCATTCATTTATTCAGATACCTACGTAGGTCTACTTCCTCACCTCTTTCAAGTCTTTTTTCTCAAACGTCACATTCATAGTGAGGCCCTCCCTTCTTCCCCCACCACAGGAAAAGCCCTTTTCCTGTTTTAATTTTCTCCATGCATTTTCCTAATATACTATCTAATTCACTCATTTGTTTAATTCCTTGTCTGACTCTGCCCATTATCATAAACAGAGATTGTGTCCATTGCTTTTATGACTAGGTCCTCAGTGCTTAGGATAGTGTCTGGCACATAAGGGGATTGATAAATGTTTATGGAATTAATGAATCTATTTATTTTATTCAAGAAATACAGTTCTGAGAATCTGCTGGATAGAGAGTTGTTTTTGAAGGGGGTCAGGATACAGGACAGGTGCTTGGGATAGAGGCCTGTGGGGTGAACTTTGAAGGCTGGGATGCTTGAGTGATGGGTGGAATAGCGAGTACAAAGCAAGTGGAAAAGTACAGATGGTGTTTGCCGAGATGCTCCTGAGGCCAAAGGGCTGGATTTGGTGAGTAACTGAATGTAGCGGCTGAGGGTGAGGGAAAGTTTGGGGATGACTGAGGTTGTATGTTGGAGAGTCTGGGTGGAAGTGATGTCATTGACCAAGGGAGACATCGGGGGCTTCAAAAAAAGGAAAGATGATGGCTTCAGGACCTCTCTTTCAAAAGCAACTTTCAATTACAGTTTGGCTGATGTTTTTTGCGTTGTGTTGATTTTATTTTTGATTCACATTGTCTGCTTCTGCCAAGCGCCTGGAGAAGAGGGTGTTTTGGCCACCTCATCCATCTCTGCTGTCTTACATCTCGGTGTCTGTGAAATGTGGCTTCTTGGTATGAACGTGAAAGGGGGTTGCACAATGGAAGACCCGCCCGTGGGCTTTCCTTCACCGTGGTTGCCATGAGCTGTGGTGAGACTGGGCTGGGAAATGAAGCGTTAGTGTTTGACACTTGGACTTGATTGCCTCCAAATGATTGTCTGCCTTTTGAAAATTATAGAGAAGCCTGCTTTGGAATTTTGAGCAAACATCAGTCACAGCTCCACAGCTATGGATTTTATGTGAAATTACAGCCAGAAGAAGAGGAAGAGGGAGAGGAGCAGCTGGAAGACTTCCTGGGGGAGGAGTCTGTGAAGGGCTGTTCCCTGGCAGAGCATGCAGACCTGTTCTGTGGGACCCCTGACGGAGGGCACAAGGAGGAAGCTCTCAAGCCTGTAAAAAGACCCTCGCATAGTCAAGTATTCCCAAAGATGAGATGGACTGACTTTGAAAGCAGTGAGCTCCCTGATCTGGGAAGTATGCAGGCAGAAGCTGAACAGGCAATTATTAGAGATCCTGCAGAGTGGCTTCTTGTTCTGGGCGTGGAACTGCAGTGGACTGCACCTTTGAGGTACTTCCAGGACTCATGTTCTAAGCTGCCAAGAGATTTCAGAGATTAAACATGTCACATCATTGCCATTGCCCCTCTTCCAACTTTGAGGCATCCTCCTCCTCCCAGGATCCAAATCCATGGCCTTGAATGATGGAAAGTAAGACATCAAGAATAGGTCATAGTTAAAGTGTTCCAACTAATCAAGGAAAAAAAAAAAAGGCAGAATTTGGTATCACCTATTACTTTGCAATACCCGCAGAATTAATGGAGCTAGACATTGAATGTCGATGGCTGCTAACAATCTTGGAAAGAGATGTAGCTGGACCCTGTGTGCTCCTGACAAAAGCATGCAACCCCATCTATCATCTTGCCAAAGGGGTTTGAGCCTAAGTGTTATCTGCTCTCTGGATCCAGCTGACAATTTGAAGGAAAAACAGGACAGAAGTGCATGGTGAATGGCATCATGAATCGGCCAGCAGCAAAATCCAGACTATGGAAACTCTGTAGGTCAAAGAGCCAGGGTGCTTCCATGGATAAACTGTCAGGTAAAGCAAGGGACGGAGGCGGAAGGCTGGGGATTACACGAGACCTGAAACATCAAATGTAGGAAATGAACACGACTGAATGATTGTGTCTAGGGATATACATTTAGGTGATCCAATTATAAGGAAAAGCAAGAAAACAGTATTTATAAAAGTTAGAATTGGTGGTTACTTTTGCAGAAGAGAGAGGAGGCACCTGGAGAGGCTTCTGTGGTGGCTGACACGCTTTATTTCTTACCTTGGGAATGGTTACAAAGGTATTCACCTTAGCCTGATTCATTAAATGAAATGTTTGCTTTGTGTGGTTGTCTGTTGTTTTATAATAAAAGGTTAAAAAGACTGAGTCACAGATGCAGCATTCTGGTCTTACCCCCAAGCTCCTACATATTGGCAGCCCTTGTCTGCTTGGAGTTGGGTGGCCCTGACTGGCAGTGGCCTCTTTCTTGCAGTTTCTAAGACGCTCTGAGACACAGAGATAAAGAGATAAAGAAAATGGAGAAACATCCCTCTGATGGAAAAAACAAACCAAAATCACATGGTTTAAAAACATCGGCAACAGTAATAATAACAACAAAAACCCAATCTGCAAAATTTGCAGGTCTCCGTTTAAACTGGTGTGTCCCTTCCTAACCAGTCCTTCCTTGGATGAGGATGGGTCTGGGTCCGTGTTGAGGAAAGGTGGTGGTGGTGATGGGGGGAGCTGGGTGCCTGTGAGAAGCCTGAGGCTGTCTCCTCTGTCTTTGCCTGGCAGTATTGGCCTGGGAAGCTCTGCATAGCCCCTGGGCTGCTCAGTCTCCTGGGAGAGGTGCTACTCTGTTTCCTGTGAGATAAGGCACAGGGACGTATTTGGATAAAAGCAAAGTGAAATTGAAATCCCTTGGGAGGGGTGGTGTGGAAAGGTCTGGGAGCCTGCCCAGTAGCTCCAAGTTTTACTGTCTGGTGAACAGGGAGCCTGGCCCTTGTCCCACGCTGGAGGCAGCCACCAGGGCACGAAGATTGCGGGTGCCTGTGTGTGTGTGTGTGTGTGTGTGTGTGTGTGTGTGTGTTGGGGGTCCTGAAAGGGACAGGCTTGCTTGATTCCTGCTCTCTGGGGACAGGCCTGGCAAGGGAGCAGTGGGGAGAGCCCTGCCACTGTCCTGAACAGGAGGATCATGGATTACTCTACATCCTGGCAGATTCAGGGAAGCCATGTGACTTCTGTGGTCCTCTGCTCTCTCATCTAAAAAATGAGGGGATGAAATAAGATGGCCCAGAGCTCCCTCCCAGCTCTCGCAGCGAGGGACTCTAAACGGCAATTTCTCTGGCTCATACTTCTTTGACCCTCAGGCTGGGTATCAAAGAGCTTTTCTACAAAAAGCCTGCAGCTTATGCTCACACCTCCCTCCTGGGGGAGATGCTGAGATGCCTTGACATCTAACCTGCTCATTTCTTAGGCTTGTTGAAAAGAAAGTGCATCTCTAGCTTTCCTGACTCGTTGAGAGCCTGTGGTGCCGGCACACCTCGTGAGAATTAGGAAAAGGTGCCCTGTGCAGGCATTGGCTAGTATGCTCATTGCTAGGATGCTGGAGAGGGGATGGTGTCTTTGTAAAAACTGTAAACAGGAGCCCTTTTGCACCCCTTCCCCCAGAAAAAGACACAACTCATGGCAACGCACATAGCTTGGAGAGCAAAACAAGAACTGAAATTTTCAGCTGCCATTCCCCTCTTGGCAGGGTGTCTTGAACAGTGAACAACCTATACAACTGTACATAATGGACTGTTTTACTGCTTTGGATTTCTGAAGGGGCCAGGCATCCATTCTTGCTCCAATAAAATAAAAGAAGCAAATAGAGAGGAATCTTCAGAGAATTATTTTTCACATGAGCTCCAGCGCTCAGCACGAGGTCTGGGAGAGAGTAGGATCATGGATTACTCTGCATCATGGTTACCAGCTCCAACTGGGATCCAAACACAGTCTGTAGCCATTCTGGTGAAGTGCACAAGTTCTCTTCTATGTTTTCAGATCTCCACCCACCCTTTCCGTCCAAGCTCCTTACCCAGAAGACACCTTATTCCCTAATTCACAGAGATGCAGAAGGTGGCACATGAGATTTTCCTTGGCTTCCCACAACCAAAGCTATGTCTCGTTGCACCCTCACCATCATCCCTCTTCCCTCACCATCTCCAGCCACTCAGTCCTTCTCTGCATTCTCTGGATTTCTTCCCAACTTCTTCCCCTGCCTAACTCCTCTCTTCATCATTCAGGTCTCCCTTAAATATAATTTCTTCCAGGGTGAAGAGGAGGTGGTGGGGAGCTTCCCTGATGCCCTGTCTGCCCCTGTTAGAGGAGAGGTCTGTCTATTACAAACTTCAGTAGCTTTCTTTCTTTTTTGCATAAAACTGTGCATTTGCAACGTATGTCATATGTCTTCAGTTTCTCTTCTTCCCTGATAGACTGTGGGTGCCCGGGGCAGGGATGGTAAATGCCTCATTCACTTGCGACAGCTTTAGTGCCAAGTCCCTAGCTTGGTATGTGAAATGGGGGGCAGGGGTGGCACTTGCTGTCTGTGGCTGAACAGGTGTGTAACTATGTGTGAAGTGAGGTTTAAATGAATTTGGGAATGAACGCTCTGAGTTTTCGTGGCTCGCTCCCCTTGACTTCATTTGCAAGAGGGGTACCCATGGATCCCACAAACAGAAAAAAATGGAAGGAACAGTACAGAATGTCCAAGTTCATCCTGCTATTCTTAACACATAGGAAACTGAGACCCAGAGAGAATAAAGAGGAATGGGCCTGCCTAACGTCTTGTGGCCGGGGAACAGCAGAGCCTAAGGTCCAAGCAGGGCTCCTTGCCCTGGTCTAGGGCCCAGAGGAGAGAGATCGTTGAAGGGAAAAGTTCTTGGGAGTAGCTACTATAATACTAAGTGGCACCTCCATGCACACAGCCATTTAAGTTTCCAAAAGACTACCACTACACCCTCTCACTAGCTCTGCAAGGTAGGCCATGCATGGCTGGCCAGCTCCTCTGTTCAAATGGAGAAACTGAGCCCTGTGCTTCTTGAGTGTGGCTGGGGCTGCTGCTTCCCTCCTGTGTTCCTGGAGAAGACCACCTTGAAGGAAGTGAAGCTGCTTTTGAAAGTGTGTGTGTGTGTGTGTGTGTGTGTATGAAATGGGGGAGTTTTCAGCATTAGCTGAGGATGGAGTGGGAGGCTGGGGCAGGGGGCCTGGAATGATAGGTTAAGGAATTTGGGTTTTGCCCAGCAGTGGAATGGGAGCTACCAATGGTGTTTGGTCTAAGGGTGTCATGCTGGGAGTGGGTTTTCAGGATGGCACCTCTGGTATATGTGAGGGTGTGAGGGCGGGTGTGAGTCTGAGACTCAGGTGGGGAGTGCAAGCTTGATCTCTCTCCTCTGCTGGGTGGGCAGCTGGCAGGCTGCTGGGCAGGGCAGGGCAGGATGGGTGGGAGGCAGACAGTGGAGCTGAGCCCCCTAAGAACGCCATCAGCCTTCAGCCTATGGAAGGACAAAGAGCTCATGTTTGGGAGCAACCAGCCAGCATGTGGCTGGGGACTAGGCTGCATCACCACACACTCTCCTGTAAGGAATCCCATGTGGAGCTCTTCCTCTCAGGCCCAGCCCATGGGAAGTGGGGAAGGCAGGGCCGGGGATGCCAGGGTCCCTTCTGCTGCCCTGCCAGGAACACTGAGGGACTTTGTGTGTAGGGTGTATCCCTGGGAGAGTAAGATGGAATGGAGTGCCTGGGAGAGGTGTGAGAGAGTGTGAGGCTGCATGTGCGTGGGAACAAGAGGACATGTCTTGCAATGTGTGGGAAACTGAGTGTGGGTGGGTGTGATTGTGCGAGGCCTCTGTGCATGAGCATGAAACGGCACAGCAATGACACGGTGAGTGTGCGTGTGTGTGTGTGAGCGAGTCTGAGAGATGAAGGTGTGTTGGCCTGTGTGTGATTCTGTGTTGTGTGCATAGTGTGTGTGTGAGTCTGTGAGGAGAAGGTGTGTTGGCATGTGTAACTGCAGGGTGTGTGTGTGTGATTCTGTGTTGTGTGTGTAGTGTGCATGTGAGTCTGTGAGGAGGTGTGTTGGCATGTGTAACTGCATGGTGTGTGTGTGAGATTCTGTGTTGTGTGTGCACAGCCAGCAGCAGGTAGAGGCAGGGAGGCCTGGAGGAGCATGCCTGCTTCCTGGGACCCCAATTCTTCCCAAGGGTTTCTTCCTTTGTAGTGGGTGGCAGGAAGGAGGGGGACTGAGGGCTGGCGGTGAGGGGCCAGCTCGGAACCCAGAAGCCCTTCTCTGGGGTCCGAGCATCAGGGCCACAGAGGCCATCAGAGATCCTGCTGCCTGGCTACAGCACATCCTCAGGGCCAGCAATGCCCACAGCTGAACAGTGAGTGCAGTGGCTGCCTCCCCGCCAGGGCCTCTGCCATCTGCACCTGCTGCCCTGACCTGTGCTGCTCCGTGTTGTAGCTGAGCCTAGGGCTGGGGCAAAGGGGACTCAGGAAAACCTTGCCCAGTCAGCAGTTTTTGGAGCTGGCTGCAGCCCTAGCTATCAGCTTGGGCAGGGACTCAAATCCCAATTTGGGTCTTTCAGTGGGGACAGCCAGTGCTCAAAATAAAATGCAACAAAACCTGAAATGGCAGGAGTCATGGCCCAGGGGCCCACGTGCCTCACAGACCTGCTGTGTGATCTTGACTAAGCCCTTTGCCCTCTCTGAGCGCTGAATGGATGAGCCTGGCTGCCCTCTCAAGATCAGAGGGAGCAATGAGGCCTGTCTGATCTCCCAGCTTCAGAGGCAAAGTCCTGTGACCCATTGAACAACATTTGATCTCCCAGCTCCTGAGCGCAGGTGCTGAGTGGGATGCAGTGAAGGGCTGGCGCACGGGAGGGCATCAGGAAGTGCTGGAGGGACTGGAGTGGCAACTGATCCCCTCGGGGGACGCTTACTGGGTCTTTGCCCCAGGGAACTGGCCGGGCACTGGCTTCATCCCCAGACCCCGGGAGAGGGAAGGAGAAGAGGAGGAGGCAGGTCTGTCCTGCCCTTAGGACGCTTTTGTGAGAATTAGAACAGTTAGAAAAAGGCGCTCAGTGGGTGGAGCATCCCGGCAAAACGGGACTGGTGAAGGTTCTGGGTGCGCCCTCCAGGTGCCAGGAGAGGCGTCCCTGCGGTCCCGCGCGGAAGGCATTATCAGCCCCGCTTATTAGATGAGGCGGCGCCCGGGCGGTCTCCGCAGGGTCTGCAGCTCCAGGCCCGCACCTCTGCTCCGCGGCCCGCCGCCGCCAGCCGGGGGCTGACCTCTCAGAGCAGGGCGGAGGATTTTCACAGCACAGCTTCCCGAGAGAGCGGGATTAAGGGGAACTGCTCGGGTGGGCCAGAGCCAGGGGCTAGGGGGAGGCCGGGCGGAAACCCAAAACCTCCGCAG